TTAAAGGTTGATTTGTGAAAAATTACAAGGCAGCAAGAGAAACAGAGAGGACAAAAGAGACTTGCAGGAAATATAAACATGGTTATGAATTAAATTCTCTTTAACGTTCTTTGAGGACCAACCGAATCCCTTTTTAGTAACTTGCAGGGTTGAATTCTATTCTTCTTGAACAAGAACCAGTTCTGATAGAAAAATCACGCGTACATTTGGATTAGATCAGATAAATCAGAATCTATATTTGGGGCCCAGGAAATTTTTTAAAAACCATCTCACTATAATTAGATGTATAATTAACTATATAATTAAATAATCATAGCTGGTATTCCACTTTTAAGTTTGTGAACTTCTGCTCCAAATCCCCCACCTATTTCAAACCTTGAAGACTTGACCAGAAAGATTACTTGTCCAACTCTTAATTACTTGAATTTTCATTCTCCTTACCTTGAAATTCCGTCACCATCCTGTTTTTCTCTTGCTAAAAATCACTCAAGAAAGCTCTTGATTATTCCTTCTGTCAGTACCTCTTTCTAGACATTCTATTTCCTCCTTTCTTACCTTACTTAAGACTAGGTTTTTGAGATTTATCCTGTTTTTACTTCTGATTCCTTGATTTCCACTGCTTTGTAATATCCTGTTACATGTATTTATGTCCATTTACTTTTCATTCTTTTTAAGGATATATGTATGTGTACATATATATATTTTATATATATAGGTGTGTGTATGTATTTATATTTGTGTGTGTGTGTGTGTGTGTGTGTGTTATTGGGGATTGAACATAGGACGTTGTACATGCAAGGCAAGCACTCAATCAACTGAACTACATCCCCAACTCTATTTAAGGATATTTTGGATACTAGAAATTTGTTTTCTCAGCTGCATATATGAAGGTTTATCTGTGGTATGTATTATATAATGTATCATATTTAAAAGACCAGAAGCACTGGGAATGAAGCTCAGAGGTAGAGTGCATGTTAGTATGCAAGAGATCCTGGGTTCAGTCTCCAGCACCAAAAATGTAAAACATAAAAATAAATTGTAGACTTTTTTTTTTTAAAAAAATGGTTGTTGTCCATTCTAGTAGGTTTTAAGCTTACTGACAGCAGGATGTCACAGCACATGTCCCATCTTGCATTGCCTAACCTTATTTATGGTAAATAACAAATATTTTTTTCACTGAATTGAAATTTATCCTAAACTGTTTATTTACCACCCTTTTGAAAACTTAGTTTTACATAAACCTCTTTTTTACATAAACCTCTTATCTCGACAAGAGAATTGCTGATAAGCTAAAAACATAACCAGGTTTAACACATGAAAATTTTGTTTAAAAAAATTAATAACTTGATTAAAATAACTATGAATTAATAGGATAACTTACAGCAAAAAAATTTTTTTAAAATATTTTTTTGTTGTAGATGGACATAATACCTTTACTTTATTTATTTTTATGCGGTGCTGAGGATCAGACCCAGTGTCTCATATGTTCTAGGCAAACGCTCTAACTTAAGAAGTTGCTTAAAATATTGCCACTTTAGTTTCTGCAGATGGAAGTAATAACCTCTAGAAAGTTGTGTGATATTTAACAGGTATTCATAAGAAACTCATTTCAGAGGTCTTGATACTAGGAATAATGTAATTAGAAATTCTCAAGAACAGAATCATATTTTAAAAATTTAGTAATACAATTTTATTATAGAACTTGTGATATAATAAAAAAAACTGGTTGATGCTAGGGTCATATTGATAGTATGTTGAAATACTTCATGAAGGAAACTCAAGTTTGTATTCACCTGTCTTAGGCCTGGCTTATTGGCTTTCATTCCCACTGAGCACTGCATTAAGAAAGCTGGCTTTATAGATTCCAGCTCTGGCTCAATAATTGATGAAACCTGGGCAAATCGTTCTCTCCCACTGGTTTTCTATATCCTTATCTGCAAATTAAAGGTAATACCTTAAACTGCTTGTCTTTATAGGTTTATTCATAAGTGAATTAAACACAAAAATATATGAAATCCCTTTATAAGCTGTATACTGAAATGGGAATTTGAGATATTATTTTTAGATTAATAAAAATCCAGTGTAAATATTGAAGACAGCCTTTTGCAATGGGAATCTACTATACTTGGGAGAAGCATATTGTCACATAGGGAAAAGAATATATGTGCAGCTAATATCCTCCTCTAGGATATATGCCTTGCAAAAACCTTTACTGATTTATTTTGAAGTTCAAAGGAAAGGGAAAGATTACTTTGTTTGGAGGGAAGGAATCAGATGCTTCAGAAAGAAGATTCTTTGCTAGGATGTTATATAACTAGAGTTTTGTAAGATAAATAATAAAGAATTACAAAACAAAGGAGGGAGGGAGAACACAATCAGGAAGACTTGAAGGTGTCAAGTGCAGTCCTAGAGCTGTAGTGGGATGGCATAATTGTGGCCATCAGTGCCACACTAAGACATTTGGACCTTATCTTTCATCCCCTATGCTGGAAGAACCCTTACAAGGACTTAAGCAGTGGAGAGTTGTGGTCTTTGAACTGGTCTTGTGCTCTTTCATCAGAGTAGAGGGTAGTTTGAAGAAGTACCTCTCTTGGAGTTAGAGGTCAAGTCCATGGCTTCGTATTGATGGTACTAATATGGGGAAAACAAAGAGGGTTTTGTTATTGTTGTTGTTGTTTTTGGTACTGAGGAGTGAATCCAAGGGGTGCTTAACCACTGAACCACATCCCAGCCCTTTTTTGTATTTTATTTAGAGACAGGGTCTCACTGAGTTTCTCAAGGCCTGGCTAAGTTGCTGAGGCTGGCTTTGAACTTGCGATCCTCTTGCTCCAGCCTCCCAAGCCACTGGGATTACAGGTGTGCTCACCACACCTGGCCAGCAATCAGGGTTTTAACTCAGAATTCTTATCCTTGAGTCCACAAATCAGGCATTGCTGGCTAGTATTTGGAAGATCTTCTGAACTTAGTGAAAAATTATATATATATTTTCACTATCCTTTATCTTCCATTATTGAATGAAGGCGAAAAAATTCTCCAAGCCCTAGTAACAGCAGTAGTTTTGGCTTTTTTGGCAGTAGAAATCAGATATTTTATACCACATTAAAGTTGTTTTACATATCTTAAAGCATTGCTTACATCATTCATTCTTACTTTGAATTATGGTAGTAATAAAATCTGCTCATATAGTGTTATATCTTATTGTTTTTACTGTTCTGATAACTATTTGAATAAAATTAGTTTCCTTTTATATACCCATGTTTAAAACTAAAATGTTATTTTGAATCCATGTTTAATCAGACTAATAAGGGGGTGGTGTTTATGACAAAAAAGGTAATAATCCTTGGTAAATTGAGACAGTGGCTCTTTCAGAGTATGCTGGTATTTTGTCATTTTTGGCAAGTTACACTAACAAATTTGAGCCATGAAGCCAATGATTCATTAGATGTGTTCTAATTTAAAATTTGTACTTTTGAGTTTTCTTTCCTCCAGACCATTATCTTCTGTAGTGTTCCCCATTTAATTAAAATATAGATTATATCATTTTCCCCCAATTGCTCAAGTCGGAAACTTTTGAATTATCCTTGACATCTATGTGTCTTAAGAAAACTAACCTAATGTTATTATATTGTGTGTGTGTATGAATGTCTAACAGTGAATTCCACCGTTAATTTAATTGTAATGCACCCCACCCCCAAAAGGAAAAGTAACCTGTGTGTTCTTTCTCTGCTCTTAACCATAGTCAGCAAAGGCGACTTCTGATACCTGATGTGTGGGACTTCTTCCACCATCAAGTAGGCAGTCAGTTCTGCAGCAGACAACAGTTGGACATCTCTAATCCAATTCATTCTGTCACAATCTATCTGGAGATAGCATCAGATTCCACAGTTAGGGGACTCAGTCTCCAAGACTGTCCCTCTACCCCCACTTTAGGTTCTAATTGCAAAGGTCAAGTTGTTTTGTTTTGATTGGGCTTATTGTGTGATAAGCAGGTTGTTTTATCTCTGCTTTTCACCAAGTGGCTATAAATTGGGGTTCCCACAGTCCCTTTTTTGGGTCCAATTAATTTGCTGGAGCAGCTCACAGAACTCAGAGAAACATATACTTAGGTTTATTAGTTTATTTTTTATAAAATATTATAAATAATACAGAAGATGAGACATACAGGGTGAGGTGTGGGAGAAGCAACACCAAGCTTCCATACCCTATCAGGGTGTAATATGTGTTCAACTATCTGTAATCTCTCCAAACCCTGTCCTTTTGGGCTTTTTTTTTTTGGAGACTTCATTGCCTAGGCATGATTGAAGCATGTAAAGCCATGTCAAAATGTGAGTGGCAAAAAGGATATGATCTAATGCTTATAGACTGGGCGGGGAAGCCCAATATGACCTGTCTGCTGTAACATTCTTGGCCAGTCTGTGTAGCATTTCTCCCTCCAGGGTTATTAGGCAGAGCCCCTCTGGAATGGGGAGAGTCTTATGACTTACTATCAGACAAGGGTAGGCTGGAGGATTTCTTTATGACCAGCTAAAAGTAGAAAAAGTAGAGGAAGACTGGATTTTCTGTGACCTACCTTGGGGAAGAGAAATTCTAGTTTCTATGTCTTGTCTTCAGATAGAAGATAGAAGCCAAGAACCATGGAAGAAAACAGATTGTATGTATTTATGACATGAGAGTGTCTTGTCTTCTGTATCATTAAGTTCTAACCTTCTAAATCTATGTACCTTTTCATCTCTACCACTTCCCTAGTTGGGGTCAATAGTTATCTCTCTGCACTGCTACCAGTCTTAATGGATCTTCCTATTTCTGTTCTTGACCTATTACAGTCTATTGTCTGCCTAGCAAGCAGAGTGGCCTTTTGGGTACACAATGAAAAGACTTTGCTGCTCAAAACCCCTCTAATGGCTTTCCTTATACTTTGGATTGAATTCTGCCTTCACCTACAAAGCCGCATGTGCTCCCTGCTTGCCCTTCCAAAATTCATCTTATATCACTATCTTCCTGGCAGGTTAAGCTTCAGCCACATTATCCTTTTTTTTCTATTCTTGTAAACAAGTCATCCTACTTCTTTCCTAGGGTCTTTGCATTTGCTCTTGCCTGCTTCAGAATTAGCAGCTATTTCCCCTAGATTCCAAGATGCCACCTTCATTTATTGTTCAGTCTCATACACTTACCTAATTTCTCTTGGGTCATCTTATTCCAGTTCTCTGCATAGTGCTCACCATTGGCTGCTGTTCTTATTTGTTTTCTCTGTCTTCCTCCAATTAGAATATAAGTTGTATTAGAGCAAGAATGTTGTCTTCCCTGTGTCACTGTTATAGTCCCAATACCTATATACGCCTGTAGAACGTTTTTTAGGATTTTTGATGGTTATTGATGTTCTGAAAAGCACAGAAGAAAACAATGACTTTATAACCTAACTGTAGTACTCGTTTTTGTCTACATACAACCCATAGCATTTTATTTTACCCCCAAATAAGCCATAATAGAATAATGGTCTAAGGATGTCATGACAGAGTATGGGTTGTAGCATTTTAAGTGGAATTAGCAAGAGAGTAGGATAGGGAAAACAGAGTGCCTATTAGACATATGCATGTGGACAGTGGTAGAATTAGATACTTAATTTATCAGAATATCCAGATGCTAGAGAAGGATAGGATGGAGACTCTTGGACTATACACTAAGTGCCAGGAAGTATCCAGGAGTTGAAGTAGCCAGACTAAACAAGTTGTCTGAGGGCAACTTAGTCAACAAGTAGATGGGCGAGTCAGAAAAAAAAATTTTTGGAAGAAACCAAGTAAATGGGAGGAAGAATTCCTCAGGATTTATAGCAGAGAATAAATGTTGAGGCAATTTCAGCTGCTTTTATTCAGCTCATCTTGATGTGAGCCAATTTCAGAGTTTCCTAAGTCTGCTGATGATAATGAAAAGCAGCTGGTGGATTGTGTGTGAGATTTGAAGGGAAAGAGGGAGGGAGGGAGAGAGGGAGGAATAGGAGTCTGGGTGGAGCGCACTAATTTCTGATGTAGAAGCATTGTGTGTTTGGCAGAGGAGCCGATGTTATTAGATCCATCACAGATCACTAAGGTCATATAATTCATTGTCTTCCAAACTTTTCACAGAAAGATCTCTTAAATTGTTTTTTCCACTATGAGTCCTATGTTACAAAATGTTTTCCCTTAAAACAAATTATTAGAAATAATTTATCTCCCAATTTTAAACCAAAGATTGCAATTAAAGCTGCATATGCTATCCATACTAAATTGACCCAAGTTGAACTAAAAGCCAAAAGACAAAACAAAGCCCTTCTATTTTAGTTATGGCATTTTTGCAGTTAAATAGTTGTTTCACTTACATTTTTGAAAGATTAAAAATGGCCTATGGGCTTAAAGCTGAGAGCCTTTGGATAAATATTAAAGGCCTAAATTCGTTTCTCAGGCTTTTTGGATTCAAATATTCCTCTTTCACATAGGAGCTGTGTTGTTTGCATAGGTCACTTAGCATTAAGACTGGTCATATCTGCAAAATGGGTTTAATTCTATTTTAGGGAGTTGAGGATCACCTGAGATGATAATGTCTTTAAACACTTGGCATATTGCCTGATACATAGTATATGTGCAATAATTATTACCCACTATTCTATTTTTATTGTTATTATTTAGAGTTGTGCAGCTCATGTTCTCAGAAGTATCTTTTAGATTTTGGACACAAAGTTTGATCTTTTTATATCCCAGATCCCATTCCCTCTTTCTTAACTCCAAAAAAGAGTTTAGCAAAGAATATATTATATTGGCAGATGGAAGAAGAATTGAAGATCTAGCAGTGTTCCCTGCTCCCTACCCTGTCTGTGACCACTGCTCCTACCCCTCAGTGCTGAGGATGGAACCCAGGGCCTCATGTTTGCCAGGCAAGCCCTCTACCACTGAAATACATTCCTAGCCCAAGTTAGTAGGTTTTTAACGCTTATATCCTCTGTAAAAAAAAAAAAAAAAAATAGCTGTTCTGCTTTCACAAAGCACAGGGTAAGAGGAAATAGGCTTCAACTTCAGTAGTAAGTGGGTTACTGATATAATATTGATGTTTCAGGGGTCATCTTATATGGAAATAAGGAAATAGAAGGATTGAAATTTGTATATTAACAATTTTAATTTTAATAAAAGTGATTCTAACCTTAAGTGTCTTTCACACGTTGCATTTTTTTGCTACTTGTTTCACAATTAGAATCAAAATCAAAATGAATGTACATAAATGAATAAAATATATTTCCTTGGCAGCCACTGGCATGTTATTTCAACCCAGGAAGAAAAATGTTTCCCTTAGAAGTTATAATTCAGTCTTAATTTACTAATTTTAGGAGAAAAAGATTTGACTGCATTTGACTGCATTTTAAATAACAAAACGAGACCTTTCTCCTCTCCCTGCCTCATTTCATCTCTCGCTTATTTTCTTTCCCTCTTAATACTACCACCAGTTGTTCTCAAGTTATGATTTTGCTGAAGAATTAATAAAAAGCAATCATCTGACAAAGGCAATGGTACTATTCTCAATAAAGCAATTTAAAAAATTTGTACAGGACCTTAGATTTAGTGCCATTTAGAAGTAAGTATAAGGAGAAAGGGCTGAAAAATGTGATATAGTTATTAACAGTTTTTAACTTTAAAAACACAGTTAACATGAATGTTTTTGGCTCAGTCTTTTTCATTGAATCCATTCTTTTGTCTTTAGTAGTACCTTTATAGCAAGTATAAAACCAAGATTTTTATAACAAAATATTATAAAATGTAGCATAGCATCTAATGAAATGGCACTGAAACAAGCTAATGATATAGAGCATTCATGTGTTTTGAGTAAGTTCTACCAGCCAGATACAGGGGTTCAAGCTCTGACCCTAAATCTTATTGACTGGGAATCTTAGGCAAGTTACTCAATTTCTGTGTCTTTGTATCCTTATCTGTAAAATGAGGATTATGAAACCTAACTTATATGGACATAATAGTTCATGTGTGTTTTATTTCTAATAAGTTATACAGAGTAGAAACATTATTTGAAAAATGTATTAACTAGGGTTTTATTTTTTTATTTTTTTATTTTTGTGACATTGATTGAACCGGGGGTGCTCTACCACTTAGCTATACCTTCAGCCCTTTTAATTTAATTTTTTATTTTCAGATAGGATTTTGATAAGTTGCCCAGACTGGCCTTGAATTTGTAATCCTCCTGCCTTGGCCTCCAGAGTAGCTGGGATTACAAGCATATACCACTGAGTCCAGCTTGAACTGTTATTTTCCTATTTTGTCTTTGCTATCAAAACTATTTAGAATGTAAGCTTCCTCCCCCAGCTTTTTTTTGGCATAAAGGCTGTGGTTTACATTAGTACATTTGTCTTTAATAAGTTGAGTCTATAAATTCTACACAAGTTTAAAAGTTGTCCTTTTTTTTTAGCGCAAACACCAAAGACAAGGCCAGACCAGTAGCTATCATTAACAATAAAAAATACAGCAAAGATTGGTGAGGTTGTGGAGAAATTGGAACCCGCGAATACTGAAGGTAGGAATGTAAAATGGCACAACTGCTATGGGATAAACTACAGAGGTTTCTCAAAAAAAAATGAAAAATAGCATTACAATATGGGGATATTTATCTAGAAGAGTATGTGGTAACTCAGTGGTCTTTTTCTCTCAAATGCTGCTTTTTAAGGGAAACTAGGCACTGTAATTTTATTTCTGAATTTGTACATTTGTCAAAGCCTTGAGAGGTAGTATTAATGAACTTTGAAGCCCACTGAACTTAGTAAATATTTGACTGATGTCTCTCCAAGGTGAAGAATAGCTTTACTGTGCCTTTGTTTGTACATTATAACAGATAATGATTGGTTGTTTTGGCGTTTAACAAAGGATTTTTGCCTTACTTTTGTTTTCTGAGGATTTAGCTTTTTGATTTGATATCATCTGAATGTTATGTTTAGAATCTTTTTTAAAAAAACATTTTTTTGAACTTTTATGCTAAGCATTTTTTTCCCCCAGAAATTTGTTTGAGGCACTTAAGGCTTTTTAGGCAGGTTGTTAATTTGCAACGGTGTTCTCATAGTTGGCAAAGTAAGTTTGCACAACTTTAGAGTAGAAAGTTGCTTTCATTTATATTTTTTTAACTTTTAAAAATCATCCATTCATAGACTTTTTAAGTAATAGCTTTATTGACACAATTCATGTGCCATCATCCAATTCAATAAAGTGCACTAATTTTTGGTGTTAGCATAGATCACCAACCTGTGTAGCCGTCACCACAATTAGTTTTAAGACTTTTTCATCAACCTAAAACTCCATACCATTTAGCAGTCATTTACCAACCCCTCTAGCCCAAGGAATCCACTAATCTACTTTTTTTTGTATTAATGCCCTTTCTGGAAAGTTCATATAAATGGAATTATATAAGATGTGGTCTTTTGTGACTGGCTTTTTTCACTTAGCAAAATGTTCTCAAGATTAAAGCATGTAGTATTTGTCAGTTCATCAGTTTTGTTGCTGAATAATATTACATTGAGGACATATT